TTTGAGCTACCAATGAAATGCCCAATTTACCCTGTATTACATCACACGCATACACAAATATTGTGTTAATTTTCGCCCTAAGGTTACCATGGAAGATGTGTCCACATTCACTTCAGTTATTGAGAATTAAATCAGCAATTATTAGTATTTGAGAATATAATTTTTTTTAGGTTGTGGAAATAATGAGAGAAATCTTTTATTCATCCACCAGCATTGATGACATGCTACAATAATAGTTCATTAAATGCCCTTCTATAAGTCGTGTAACAGCAATTTCTTAAAGCATCTAAACCAACTCTCCTTTTTCACTCGAATTTTGCCATCTAGGCATTAAATGCTAGGGACAAATTTCACGAGATAATGCAAAACATCCTGAAGTAAAGAATCAACGTCCATCCGAAAGTATTCTCTACCGGCACAGCAGGCGACTTGTTAAAGCGGTCTGGACCACCACAAAAAATATTAAACTTCCAAATTAGACAAAAGAACTCTTAGTCCAGTCTAATAGTTGTAAATCCAGAAAAAACTGGTATCACAGAGTGGAAGTCGCCTCGTCCAAATAAAAAAATTTAAGACGGCCTATTTGAGTATGCTTTATGATCTACCCAATGTAATGAATTCGAATATAAACTGATCCAGTAAACGGAGCGTGAGTCCTTTTAGATCCCTTACAAAATTTTTCAAAGGCGACCCTCAAAATAGCAGTTACCAGTTTGTCAGAAAAATCTGTTCCACAGCCACACCGATTGAGTTTAACTGATTAAAGTAAACTCAATTTCTGCTCAAAAACTAGCATAACTAATCGTCCTCCATCATTAATATTGGTTAAAACATAACATAGCTGTTGGTAGTTGCTGTGGCACATGTCATCTATGCGTGACGTGACAAAACGTAGCAGTGCAACTTTAATCAGGAGGGGTAAATTCAGAAAGGGTAACGGTATTGTCGATTTAAACAAATCTAAGGTCAAATTTAGCAACCAGACCAGTATTTTTAGTCTCTCAAGCATCAACTGGGGCTAGATGTTTGACCTAGATTAGGCTAATGTTACCAGGTAGACCTACTGCAAGTTGTTTTAATGCGACATTTTTAGCCATATTTCGGAAACGTGGGCTCAATACCAAACACCATAATCTCAACAAACGAATAAACTTGGTCTTGAAAGTGTATGGACCTACTACAGAAACATCAGTAAATTGGACAAGCTCGTAAATCGTGGGCTGCAGGCACCCAAACATTCTTTAGGCACGCCTCCGCGTCCCTGTGTCACCCTGGACTGGAGCTATCTCCACGCTTATCCTCCTGTGGTGTTAGATTAATACACACGAGCCAACTGTACTAGTTCTAATGCAATTGAAAAGATACTTCATTGCAAAGCCACTGGTCCCTCTAGACACTTCTACTAGACCTGAAGTTTCGTTCTTTCTTGGAAATGCATTTGGAGTTGGGGAACTGTGCTGGCCTTCACGCATGT